CGTTACGATTCGAGCCTTCTAGCTATGTTTTTTTTTTTTTTTTGTTTTCGAATCGGGTTTTAATTTTATTTTATTTTTTTTTTGGTGTTGCTGATTAGCATTCACATTTGTATGTGTCTGTATGGGTGTAAGTGGCAGAAGATATCGGCGCGTCGATCGAACGCCAACATTTCGAAACAACAACAAATAGTATTTTTTTATTTTTATATGAATTTCATTTAAGTTTAAACTTTCAAGTCGATAGAAAAAAGACACACACAAATGCCGACTTAATTGGGAAATAAACAAGTCCATAAGCTCGAACCAGTTATTATCAACGCAATTAGTCTGCATTGACGCAAATTTGTTAAATACATTTATTATCATTTAGAAAACAACATTTTGTTGAAAACCTAAAACTTCAAACAAAGTTATTTAGATAGTTTGAATAGTTAATAGGATGGCCTTAAACTGGGCCACATCAAGTTGCCCTCAATTTCGGTCACAGACAGACCAAAGGCCTGAAAGGAATTCATAAATAAGATTTTTTCGAACATATTACATTCAGTTGAAAGCTCAGCATTTTATTTATTATTATTTATATTGTTTAAACGATTTGTGGCAAGATTTGAAATGAATTCATCCGGTTTATTTGAAACTGGTTTTTCTTTAAATTCTAAACACACGTTTGCCCGTTCTTAATTAAAATTAATACAAGAACCTTCGCACGGTCATTAAAAAAAAAAACAAAGTAAGAGGTTCTAGTCGGGAACTCCCGACTAGGGAATACCCTGAACCCTCTTCTTCCAATATGTCAAGTTTGGTGACTCTAGCTCTTAGTAATTACCAAAATTGCTCAAAAAACAGGATATCGATATCGATTTGTATCGATTGATTGGAAACGGAGTAAGTTATCGATTATCGTAAACAAACTCGATCTGCGCACGCACTAGGAGCACCTACATATACAATTTCAGTCTCTAGCTCTTATAAGTTCTGAGGTCCTTGCGTTCATACATACGGACAGACGGACATGGCTAGATCGACTCGGCTATTGGTGCTGATCAAGAATATATATACTTTATGGGGTCGGAGATGCTTCCTTCTGCCTGTTTGCATTTTGCACCCATTTTTAATAGGTTCAGGGTATAAAAAAAAAACAACAAATTGAAAGCTAAGTTTGTGCTATTTCTACTTTTCTCTCCTCTCGCTCTTGGCCTCGCTCTCTCTCGCTCTCTTTCTCTTTGCTTTTAGTTAGTAAAGACTTGTTTGTCGATTTTCCTATGCGGTAACTTTTTCTTACATTTCTGTTTTTTTTTTAATTAATAGATAAGAAACGTGCACATAAAAAACCCAACACAAGCCAAAAAGCACGCATTATTTCTTATCTTATCAAAATAAATGAAACCAAGTTTTATGCTCATTCACGGTCAATGTTTTTTTTTTTTGTTAAATTTGATTACAATTTGTGCTTCTTCTTCTTCTTGAATCTGTCACTCATGCAAAGCGAGCGAGCGAGCGAGCGAGAAGGCAAGAAAAACGCATTTCCGTCGAACTTTTTGTTTGTTAAAAAGCAAAAAAATTATGCAATCATCACTTTGTTTTTTATTGTTTTTTTTTTTGTTTTTGTTTTTTAAATCGGTCATTGAACGTTTATTTGACGGGCTCGGGAACGAGGTATTTGTTCGTGTTGTGGCTACCCGTTCAGCAAGATCTTCCAGGTGACGCTTATAATTCGATTGGTTCGCTCTTCTTCTTGTTGTTGTTGTTGGTTTGGAGGGCAAATCAGGGCACAGTTCATTGTACGCGTTTGCTTTGTGCTTGATTTTCTCTCTCGCTCTCGTTCTCTCCTTTTCAAAGAGACCAGCTTGTAACGTGCTCTTTTGTTAGAAAAGTTGTCTCTTTAACTGCCTTGGCCTTGAAATTTTCAGTTGAGTAAATACTTGCAAAAATATCACAAAAAACTAATTCCTATTATTCGAATTGCTCATATATACAAATTGTATGTAATTAAAGAATCAATATCGTGCAGTCGATGACGTTGAAGCAAACTTCTTGCAAACTGTTTATATTTATTGGAAGCACATTTCCAGCGCTATGACTCATTGGTTATTCCGCATACATTTACAGTAATAATTGGACTTGAGTGCGCTTAGAATAACTGTGCTTATATTCCCAATTGGAAGGTGGTGGATGGGTTGAAGAGGATTTGGGAAAGTTTTGTTGTAGGCAATAACAGCGAAGTTCGTCCAGCTAAAGCTTAAAGAGCCAGAGACTTGGAATTGGGAATACAAGTTCTGACATTAAAATGAGGTTAGGTTAGAAGGGAGTTTGGTGCAGGATATATCAATCTCGTTCACGAGTTATACCGTTGCAATCTTAATAATATTTACTGTAAAGCGATTTATCGACAATTCTCCAATACCCTGTTGCAAAGCAAGCTGCTCATTGTTTAACGCCTTTCTCAACATGAAAATAAATAAACGTGTGATGCCTGTGCCATGAGTCACATTTTTGTTATAATGCCTTCTCTTGTTGTTGTTGTTGTTATTTCTACTCTAAAAATAGCCAAAGTGTTGAATATACGAAATTCAAAATATTGCCATAACATAAAGTCTCATGCATATACATATACACATAATATACATGTATGTGTGTCTGCTCTCGCTGTCCGTTTTTGTTGTTGTTACTGTTAATGCATCGTGCACAACGTGTGCATGATGGCAATTTGGGATTCCCGTGTGGCCAATTACCCTCGAAAGAGAGAGGGAGAGTGGAGAGTTGCGTCGGTTGCCTTTTATCGTTGCTGCGACAATTGATTATTTATTTTACACACACACTCACAATCAAACGCAAGAGACTTGCACTCCACAGCGCCCTCTTTTTTTTTTGTCGCATTTTTACTGGATTTTTGGTTTGCCGTTTTGTGGCTTTTGTGCTGCCCTACAACAGTTTTTGAACATCTGTTCACAGTTGTGCTTTGTTTTGTTGCTGTGCAGCGCTTATAAAGCGTACATTTTAATATGTTTTGCACGTATTTGAGCACACACGAAACTTTATTTGCATATTGTGCGTATGATTGTCTTTCAGAGATGCATGCGTTTGTTTGTTGTGATTGTTTTTGTGGTTCTGCCTATTTATCGATTCAACGGAATTTCGATCGATTTGGCGAAGGTGGCAACGCTGCCGGCGCGCAGATAGCCGCCGCATTTAGTGCTAGTCTCTCTCTGTCTCTCTCTCCCTCTCATTTGACATTGTTATCAATGTTTTTTGTTGCCATAAAGAAACGCAGCACAAAGCAAAAACTGTTCGCACAGCTGTCAGCTGCACGGGTGCGTTGCCTGTCTGTGTGTATGTGCACATTTACTCATACACATTACACACATGTACATATCTGAATGTTCTATTATGTATGCATGTATATTTGTATATATTTTTGAACTTGTGAGATTTTTCCTGCCGCCCTTTTCTCGAGCATTCCGTTGCACACGTTCACGTTCACACGTTTTTCATAGGTTTCCTGCATATCATGCTTTTCGGTGGTTGTTGCTCCTGTTCTGCTATGAAGCCTGCGGCCAGCTGTTGGCTGCTTGAAGTCCTCACACACACACATACACACACTGAGACACAGACACAGACAGGCACATTGCGTCTCGTCCGTTTTGCTGTCTCGTGTCGTTGTCGTCACGCGCAGTGCATTGGCCTTTCGCTCACAAGGGCTCTCAATGCTATTTAAGCGGCGTTCCTCCGAACGGCCGTTTTAACAAATGGCCGCCGCCGACAACGTCGCGCGCACGCTTCAAACTTGAAATTGTTTTGTTATTGTTGTTGTTGCTCTTTAGGTTTTGTGTTTTTATTCGGCTAATTTGTTTAAACGTCGTTGGCTGCAAATTTTTTGCTGTTATTGGAACGAAGAAACACACACACACACACGCGCGCGCCAACAAATCAGGGGCAACAATATTTGTTGTTTGTATAAATGAACTTCAAGCTGTTACCTTGATGCAAATCTTTTCTTTTTGTTTTTTATGAGCTTTTAAAGTTTTGCGAATTAGCCATTAAACTCATCCTGTTCAAGTCAACTACACACATATGTACATACATACATACATGTACGTACTTATTATCCAATGATCAGCAGGACGGATATATGCGAGACAGAGACAGACATACACAGTTTACCTGACTTTTATGACTTTGTTTTGCTGTCACTTTGACAGCTGAGGCGACCAGCCTGCCAGATTTGTTTCCTGCTGGTTGTAAAAACCCCGCAAGAAAACAATCAGGTGTGCGCTCGCTCTTGCCTACTTACAATGCATATTCTGCAAATGTAAAACACATTTCCATGTACATACATACATACAAAAATACGTTATGATGCATGTATGTGTGTGTGTATGTGAAGTGTAGCTAAAATTCCTAGCACAAAAACAAACAGAGATAAGCCCGCCGCCACCACACGGGCCAGCCTAGCTGCGTTGAAAAGACAAAAAGTAGGCACGACGAGACGCGAACGAACGAGCACAAGACTTAAAATACTAACACGACAACATATATACATAGGCATAGGCATGCCTATATGTACATACATACATCCAATCATATACACAAACGCATCGGCAAAGATCTCTGGCTGCTACGGTAAATCTACCTGAAAGCGGAAAATTTTCGTATGCAAAAATGTCAAAAGTGAACAAAAATTAACAACACTAACATGGAGAAAAAAAAATGACATTCGGGTATCCGGCTCGTGCGCTCTTCGTACTCGCTTTGTGCTCTCTTTGCGTGTAGAGAGTCGCATAAGAGAACTTGTGTGTAGCGTAACGGTGTGCAACGTAAACATAAAACAGCTGTGCCACACGTAACGAAAACGTATGATCGCGTGCGCGTAACGTACACAAACACAATTCAAAAGAAAAAAAAAACAACGGCTCTTAACGGTGGGAAGCGGAAAGGCAAATGAATTAAGGCAAACAAGAAACCAGTGCAAACTATTTTTAACATAACTTATCCTTTTAAAGTGTAGAGTGAAACTAAAAGCAAATGCGTAATATAAATTAAAAGCAACAAAAAACACAAATTGAGGAGAGCAGCACAACTACGATAAAAGAAACATCAGCAACAACTACAAACAAAAAAAGAAAAACAACGCATCAATTATTTATCACGCAGCAGCAGCAACAACAACTAAGTATGCAAATATACTTGTATAATGTTAAAGTGATTCTCACCCAAATTGGTCACTATTTTTATAGAACAACCATCAGCGGCGGTAGCAACAATATTAACAACAATAAAGTCATCGTCCAATTGAGTAGCACGAGAAAAACACCGCACTTGCCTATCGATTGCCCGTCAAACCGATATATACACAGTTTTCAACACTGTTCGTTCGGCCGAACAGCGAGCACAGCTGATTGTGCCTGGTTGGCTGTTGTGTTTTTTTGGGTGTGCGCGGGGCAGTGAAAGGTTTTCTGCGTGCCGAGCGACCGAGAAATAACAGTATAACAACAGCATCAACAACTACTGTGTGTGTGTGTGTGTGACGTGGTGGAAAGAACACAACACAACAGAACAAAAAAAAAAAAAAAAAAAAATACACACGACCACGTCGAGCAGGTGGCAGTTTAGAACAGCTGTTTCAACACATCAAAACTACAAAAAGCCACTGAAATCTACAAAGCGCTGTCGACTATTTAATGTAAATACATTCACATAAACATACCTATTGTAAGTACATTAGTATTGGCGTCTTGTGCTTCATTATTTCAATTCGTTTAAATATTTTGTTTTCATATTGTGTTGTGACGCGTGCCCCCACGCCTGTAGCTTTTCCAACAGTGGTGAGATAATTATACACACTCGTATACATTCAACAATAATAACAACAAGAACCAAGTAAGCTAAAGTTTTTAATTTTTGCTAAGACGTGCAACGGGCCGCAAGCTAATTCAGATAGACATACATACCCACACATTAACACGAAAAAAAAAAAAAGCCCCGTGTATAAGTAAATGTACGAAGATAAGCGAATGTGTTGTTGCTGTTCAACAAAAAAAAAAAAACGTAAGGTCTCCATGCATAGCACGCTCTCTAAGAGCGGCTGAAAGAGAGGAAGAAACGCATAGCGAAAGAGAGCCGCCACCAATACGAATAACGGACTGGCCAACGGCCAGCGGCAGAGTGCCAAGTGCGCACATTAAATTGCAAACTTGTTTTTCATTTCTGCTCTGCGCTTCACTTCCATAATAACTATATTACAACAACAACAACAGCAACACAAATACAACAACAAATGCTTGTCAGCAGTAGTAGCAGTAGTAGCAAGTGATACAAGGCACGTACGTATTTCAAACGAAACATCGAGACGTTGTTTGGTCGCTGATTTTCAAGACGAAGCGGAGCGAGTGAGCGTGCGAGAGTAAAGCGAAAGAGCGCCAAACTGATCGCGCGTAGTATACTCAGTACTCAGTGCATGTGCGCATGTGTATGTGTGTGTGTGTGCGAGAGACACGACGACTTTTGCTGTTGATCTACTCCGTCGCGTCACACACTCGTCGACTTCGCTGTCTTAGCATTGTCAACGGGGCGGTGGTGAGCGGTGTAATAATAAACGAGTGCACAGCAGCAGCAGCAGCAGCAAAGCAGCAACGGCAACGGCAACCACTTGAAAGCAACTCGTTTCGATTTCATTTAGCAGATACCTTTTGTACGTTGATTAAGATACCTTGGACACACAGACACGAGCAAATTTCATGTGAAAAAGGAAATAAAATGCAATTTTACAATTTATTTGTAAGCAAAACAAAATACAACGCGTGAAAAATACGTTAAATTCCAGTGCCGCCATATGTGTTAAAATAACACAGCAAATTGCCAAGCAAAACTCTGTCTTGAGTAAAAGTGTTGGCGTAAAAACCCATAATCATGCATATGTATGCATGCATATATACTCACGCACACAAAAGCAAATGAAAAAAAAAAAACAAAAAATATGTGTTAAAAAGGCATTAAAAAGTTAACAATACTTCGAGTGCCTGAACTCTGTGCCTACAATTTCGAATCAGATAGTGCGAGTGTGTGCGTGTGCAAAGAAAGAGATATTCACACATATGTATATGCAGCTAATATAGAAGTGGACAAAAAATATAATAAGCAGCAAAAAAAAAAAAAAATTTTATATATATATATAAAAAAATCAACGTACAAACACAGATGATTTTTAGCAAAAAATAAAAAAGCGAAAAGAAAAAAGATCAAGCAGCAGCAACAACAACAACAACAGTGAGTGGTGAAGCCAATCAAAACAGCAGTTGTCCCGCTTTAACACGCAGTGATTGGCGAGAGCGCGAGAGCAGAGCCAACAAACCAGCGAGCACACGCACACACACACACACTACCAAAAGCAGTCAAGCGACGTGTGTCCATATCGGTGTATGTGTATGGATGTGTGTGCGAACAGCATTGATTGCTCGCTCTGCTGTCTTTGATTTTGCTTATGGCTGCCGCCCGACACACACATACATATTGACAACTTGAGCACCTGGCGCAGGAGTCACACTTTCAACTGAAGCAACCAAAAGTTACAACAGCTATACGCGCGTCTTACACACCGACATGTCAAAGCAGCAATAGTAACAACAACAGCAACAGCAGCAGCAGGAACAACAACAACAATTAAGATGCATACATGCCTACCTTAACCCAATTAAAATACATACCATATTATTTAACAAAAGAAATTGTGTTATTTGCAAGTGGCACACAAAGAGAGCAGCAACAACGTGCAGTGCAAATATGAACCAGACTTGACGAAAGTAGAGAGGCAATGAGAGAGAGAGCGAAAGAGAGAAATGAGACCTATGTATACGGAAGTGAAATTCTCAAGCAACAACAAAAATATTAAGAGTTGTGCGTGTATTTGTATTTGTGCCTGCATTTCAAATCAAAATTTGAAAAAAAGAAAGAAAAGAAACGCAACGACAATAGCAACAATAGCAACAGCAGCAACAGCAGCAGCAGCAGCAAGTTTGCAGCGCAGCTCAAAACTCTCGGGAGAGCGAGCCGAGTGCACACATGCGCATGCAAGCATGCAGTAGTATGTATTAATGTGTGTGAGTGTGTGTGGTGTTTAATTTTTTTTTTTTTGAGAAGCTATGCATTTACCTCTGTTCACGTCTTAGCAACAACGTAAATTTAACTTGCGATTACAACATACTAAAGAAAAACATTTATAAATTGCACAGAAACTAAAACAACAATAACAACAATAACAGTTGCCATTGGGCCCCAGGCTTCTTCTACGTCACATTCGAGATCAGGAGTGGTGCCAGCAGCGACGCATTGCAACAAACACAACTACAACAACAACTTCCAGTTAACGTTGCTTCCATTCGATTCTTCCGTGCAAAAAGAAAAAAAAAAAAAAACAACACTAAAACACTTTAATTTATTGTTCAACACTGGCGCGCTAGCCGAAAACAAAAAAAAAAAAAAACAACTAATATTTGCCATTTTGCCACGCAAACGTCACAGCGACTAAGCAGAGACAACTTAACAAAAGCAAATACAAAGCGTAGTTCAAGTAATTAACAAAAAAAAAAAAAAAAAACAAAACAACAACAAAGAATTATCATTGTGATCATCAAAATCATCATCAACAATCAACATTTGAGGGGGGCGGACACGTTATGAGCAATTCGATTGCATCAACAAAATGCCTGCCCAATGTCTCGCTCTCGTCCGGAAATTATGGTATGTCCCAAAGCCACCGTTACACCGATGATACAAAGGAGTATATATTCCTTAAGCTAACCGACTCTGCCTTCCGTGCCATCGAGGAATATCAAAGAAACGAGAATGCCAAACGCCTTGCGCCCGGCCAGTGTGCAAAAATTCAATGCAATGGCAACACTGGCGTCATACACTTCCCGCTGCCAAGCAGCGATAACAGTTCTGTTAATAACAGCAGCGGCAACGGCGGCAGCGGAATGGAAAGCGGCGGACGTAAATTTGGCTTCACCATTGACGAACTGGAGGGCACATTGGAGTGCATACAACAGCAGCGCGAGGGATTCGATGTGCTTGGCGCATTGGCGCGACGAATGCGAATTCATGCCAACGATGATGTCTACGATACGACGCGATCCAAAATGGCTCGGGCCGAGGAGACGGAGAAGAGCAAATGTATACGCGAGATCAAGCCAAATCAATCGGATATTGGGCGTAAGGTGAAGAAGCCGGCCTCGGCATCATCATCGCATCACAGTGGGAACAACAACAACAACAGCAACAATAGCAGCAATAGTTTTAACAGTAACAATAGTCGTAAGTTAGTTTCATCGCCATTTAATGGCCTGACATCGTCGTCATCATCATCAGTTGCAGCAGCAGCAGCAGCTGCAGCAGCAGCATCAGCAGCGGCGGCGGCAGCAACAGCAGCAATCACAATCGCCTCACGCTCGCCCAATCCCAATACGTTGGGTGCCAGCGGCACAGTCAATGGCAGTCGCAGCACAGCCCTGGCCAACACATTCGCCAATGGTATCTCACAGGGCTGTGCGCTCAGCGGCAGCTCGCCCAGAGAGCATAGCACAACAGCAACTGTTGCTGGCACAGCAGTAACAGTTGGTTGCAGCAATGGACGCAATAAAATGCTCAACGGCAGCGGCAACAATTCGCGCAGCGGCAATGCCAAATCAGGCGGTGCTGGCGGCGGTGGAGCAGGTGGGGCAGGCAATGGCAACAAAATGTCGGATGTATCGAGGCGCAGCATTCGCGAGCGTTTGATACATTTGCTGGCATTGAAGCCGTTCAAGAAGCCCGAGCTGTATGCGCGCCTCAAGAACGAGGGCATCAAGGATCGGGAGCGCAATCTAATTGGCAATATACTCACGGATATAAGCACCATGTCGCATAATACGTTCAATTTGCGCCGCCAGATCTGGAACGATGTTGACGAGAATTGGCCGTTCTTTAGCGAACAGGAGCTGCAGCAGCTAAAGCGTCGCAAGCCACAGAATCTGACGCCGCCCATGAGCTCCGATGCGGGCAGCTCCACCTCTGGACAGAGTCCAACGTCCACGCACACGGGCAGCCCGCCGCCGTTGCTGCTGATGCCACCAAATGTCGGACAGCAATCGGGCGGCGGCGGCGGCGGACCCGGCAACGGCGGCAATAGCCTGAAGCGGAGCAGCATCGAGTACGATGAAATGTTCAGCACGGTGCATCCGAAGAAGCAGCGCATCAGTCATTACAACAGGGAGTCGGGCGGCGGTCCACAGTTCACAGCTGCGCCCACTAACTGCCCCAACACGGGCACGTCCTATCGCAGTCGAAATGCTGCCGCCTATACGCCGCCGCAACGCCAGCTTCCGCAGCTGGACGAGCAGAGCAGCAACGATTTGACCTACAGTGTGCTGGACAATCTGGACGAGTTCCGTAGCATGACAGCAGCAGCAGCTGTTAGCGAGCAGCAGCAGCAGCAGCAACAGCAGCGCGGCGGCAGCAGCAACAGTCGACGTGGCAGCGGCGGCTCTGCGAAGCAAAGCAACAGCAGCAGCAGCAACGGCAACGGCAACGCGGACAAGCGCAACTCGACGGGCAGCAACTCGAGCAGTTCCAGCGGCTATGAGACGCAGCTGGAGCGCAACAGTCGTCAGTCGTCGGCAGCGCAGACGACGGCACGAAAATCCTCGACAACGCCGCCCAAATTAGCAGCCAGCTTTGTGCGACAATCGACACAGCAGCAGCAACAACAGCAGCAACAACAGCAGCAACAACAGCAGCAGCAGCAGCAGTCACGTGGCAACAGCTTCAGCAGCAACAACAACAATGCGCACGATGAGTACAATTCATACAACAACAACACGCATGCCGCGTCCAATAGCAAAAAGCGCACGAGTAACAGCAACAGCAACGGACAACGTCAGCGCAGCAGCAGCAGCAACAGCAACAGCAACAATCACATCTATCAACAGCAGCAGCAACAGTTGCAGGCGCCAGTGCAGCAGCAGCAACAGCAACAGCAGCAGCAACAGATGCCGCAGCAGCAGCAACAACAACCTTATCATAATCGCGAGTCGACGGGCAAGAGTGCGAGTGGCAGCGGCAATCAGACGACGGCCAAGCATCCGTCGCCCACACAGCAGCTGGCGGCGGCTGCGCATGCGTATGCGGCGGCAACGGCGGATGCTGATGCGAATGCCACGCCCCGTTACGATTTCAGCCAATATGCGCCCATACGCACACTGGAGGTGCGCAGGCGCTACAAGACTGAATTCGAGAGCGACTACGACGAGTATCGCAAACTGTTGACCAGCGTCGAGGATGTGCGCAATCGTTTCCAGGATCTGTCCAAGCGTCTGGAGGGCGCACGGCGACGCGGCGGCGGCGACTACGATCAAATCAAGCGGCAAATTGTCAGCGAATACGAGCGCATCAACAGCGATCGCAGCATACACAAGGACAAGCTGAGATTCGACTATCTGCACGCCAAGTTGGCGCACATCAAGCAGCTGGTCATGGACTATGACAAGACCCTGATGAGCGCCACGGCAGCAACAGCAGCAATGCCGGAGGCAGCAGCTGAAGCCCAAGCACGTTTGGCGGAAAGCAGCAACATGCAACAGCAACAGCAGCAGCAACATCGCCAACAGCAGCAGCAACATCATGCTGTGGAAACGATACAGCAACAAGAGCAGCAGCAACAGCAGCAACATTTCATCAACAACAACAACAACAACAACAACAACAACAACAACAACAGCAGCAGCAACAACAACAACCACGAGAGCGACTCGGATGACAGCTCCGGCAGCTCCGATTCCAATGATGATGATGATGATGACGATGAAGATTGCGAAGATTCCAACTCCAACACTGACGACGACGACGACGATGAAACCTACTGAGAATAAACGAATCAAACAACGCAAAGCTACTTCTGGATAAAACGATAAACGAAACAACAACAACAACAACAACAAACAGGCTGCAGTTGCAGTTGCAGTTGCAACCAATGTAAAAAGGCAAAAAAAGAAACTATTATACATAAATATATATATATATATATATATATATATTATTATATAAATATATTACACACCTAATCTAGTAAAAAGCAACACCAACAACAAAACACTTGTACTAAGATAAAAGTAAAAAAAAAAAAAAACAACAACAACAAAAATGTTAATGAAAGGCAGGAAAAAGCAACAACAACAGCAACAACAACAAAAACTATTTGCAAAAAAGAAAAACAAATCAAAATGAACAAAAAATCAATAATTTTTTTTGTTTTTGTACACTTGAAAACTGATTAAAAGCGAAAATGTCAACTTTTAAATATGTTTTTTATGCTTTTGTTTTTTTTTTTTTTCCTTCTAACATTTCGTGTGTAATAATAATTACAAAAAAAAAAATAATATTATTATCAAGCAACCTTTTAAATAATATATAAACTAGAGAGAAAGAAAAAACTTCTTTTCTACTTGAAATGTTTCCCTTTTTACAACAACAACAACAACAATCATTTGTTACGCATTCGCTTCATTATTATGCTAATTATAATTATTATAATTTTTTTGTGTTTTTTACATATGTATATATATATATATATAAGAGTATATAATTTCCTATGCTATGCACTCTGATATATATAAATATATATATTATACCGGGAACAACAATAATAACATATGATTTTATGCATGCGCACAGTGTGCCGAGAACAATTTGTTTTTGTGCTGCGCCTGTGCAGCTGGCAATACACACACACACACACACACACACACACACACATATATATATTAACTTGTTGTGGTGTTGCATGCGGGCGTGCCTCTTTAACAATAGACTGAACGAACATTTAAACGGCTTGTTAATTTTTGCCAAATTGCAGCAGCGCTTGTGTAGAAAAAAACATTCATTTAATTTGTTTTTTTTGTTTTTGTTTTTGTATGTTTAGTTAATTTCTGTTATATATAATATACTTCATGCTCATATTACAATTTGTTTTGTTTCTTTTTCTTGCAATTGGGCCCCAAACACGTTTCTCTTTTTTTTTTTCTCGAAGCAATCAAACAAAGCAACATTTATTATTATTTCGTTTGCCGTTGTTTAAGACAAGGTTTTGCTCAAAAATAAACAAAAAGTAAAGAGTTCATAAATTTACTAAAATGAGTTATAGACATGATTGTGTGTGTGTTGATTTGTTGTTTCAGAGCCAGTTTCTGGTTTCTGAAACAAATTGAAAAAGCACGCTACAAACGAAGCTTCCTTGAGAATATTTATGTGCATAAGGAATCAAAAAAAAAACAAAAACAAAACTAACAAGTCAAAAGAAAAATTATTCAATAATTTGCTGAAACACCTGAGTGTCAAAAAAAAACAAAAAAAAAAAAACACGCAAAAAAAAAAAATAAAAAATTTGTAAGTAAATTTAACAAACGACAAATCCTTTTGTTAGCTATTTCGTTGCAATATTTTTTATATAACATATTTAAGTGTAGTAGAAGAAAACAAAAACGAAACGAAAAAGGGAAAATCAAATGAAACATTGAGATCAAGTTGCAAAAAATCAAGCGTTTAAAATCGATTTGTAGCAAACAAACAAACAAACAACAAACAAACAAACAAACAAATGATATATACAATTTATATACAACAAAAAACTATACATATATATATATATATATTATATACAACAGTGACATTTGCTAAAGGAGCATGAGACACGAGGGGGAGGGGGAGATAACTTGCTAGTTTTATAATCATAAATGCCACGCCCACACGCCACAAAAATCACACACACACACCCGCACACACACACACACACAAACTAATCAACTGCAATTTGAATGAAGAGGAAAACATATTATTGATAAATGAAAAGAAAAGAAAAAAAGGCAACAAAAAAAATTTATATATATATATATATAAAGTTTGTGGAAAATGAAAAAGGAGTAAACCAGATCAAGAGACATGAGAAAATTATTATTATTATTATTAAAAATTATTATTATTATTATTGTTAGTTTAAGAGCAAAATCGCTGACAAAACCAGCAGAATTAAAAATCTTAAAAAAAATGAGATATTGTTATATACTAGTAATTCTTAAGGCGACAAACAACAACAACAACAACAACAAAACAGAAGAAAGAAAGAAAGAAAAAAAAAAAACTTAACAAAAAAAAGCAAAGAAAAATAGAGTCAAATAAAATATTGAATCGAACATTGTGCAATTGTTTCTATTTATTCCCATTAACTTTTTTGGACTAAGTTTCTCTCTCGATTTCCATTTATTTTCTTTTGCTGAGTCGCTTAAATTGACTCGCTTTTCGCTTGATCCTGCACCACGGTAAAGACAACAACGGCAAAGTCATAATTCCGTAAACACTTTACGTTTATTGATAATAATATATTTCTGACTTGTAGAAGAGGAAGAAGCGGTCGAGGACAATGCGCAGGTGGCGGAGCTGTCCAACGATTCCGATGCCCCATTGAAACCGAATGTGAGTAGCTTCAGTTTATACACCAAGTATCTTTAACGAATCCTTTGTGTTGTTGGCGCAGAATGACGAGGATGATGATTACGATCCGGAGGATAATCGCAAGAAGAAGAAGGGCAAGAAGCGTAAGACCCGAAAGGGCGAAGAGAAGGGGCGCAAAAAGAAGAAGCGCAAGAAGAATGAGAGCGAAGAGGACAGCGATTTTGTGCAGCACGACGAGGAGGTCGAGTATCCGAGCACCTCATCGAAACGTGGACGCAAGCGCAAAGAGGAGAAGCAGGCGCAAAAGGAGAAGGAATCCTCCTCCTCGGGTGAGTTTGCAACAGCCAATTTAATTGACATCAACTCAATACTCAATACTAAATATGGCAGGCATGCCTTCTGTCGAGGACGTGTGCTCCGCATTTGGTGTGTGCGATGTGGAGATTGAATACAGCGAGGAGGAGCTGCAGAGCCTGACCACATACAAGGCATTCATGCAGCATGTGCGACCCATATTGCAAAAGGAGAATCCGAAAATCGCAGCGCCCAAGCTCATGATGCTGGTCGCGGCCAAGTGGCGGGAATTCTGCGAGAGCAATCCCCATATACAGCAGGAGCAGCAGCAGGGCGGACAGGCGCAGGCGGCGACAACGGCAGCCGAGCCAGACGAGCCGCGTTCGTCGCGCTCGTCGCGCAACGAGAAGCCGGACGACATATACGAAGAGGAGGAGGAAGAAGAGGAAGAGGAGGAGGAGAAGAAGCCGCGACGCAAGCGCAGCGGACGCAGCAGCAACAAGAAGGGACGTCGTCCGTCGGGCAAGGTGCCCACATTGAAAATCAAGTTTGGCAAACGCAAACGCGACAGCTCCGACGAAGAACCCGACGCAAGTGGCGCCTCCGAACGTGACTCTGATCTGGAATTCGAGCGTATGCTGCAAAAATCGGACGATAGCGCCGACGAGAAGGAAAAGGAGAAAGAGAAGCAGCCGGCAGAGACGGCAGCCGCAGCTGCGGCTCAGGAGGATGGGGCGCCCGTGGTGCGCAAGAAGGCCAAAACCAAAATTGGCAACAAGTTCAAGAAGAAGAACAAAATGAAGAAGACAAAGAACTTCCCAGAGGGCGAGGATGGCGAGCACGAGCATCAGGACTACTGCGAGGTGTGCCAACAGGGCGGCGAGATCATTCTGTGCGACACCTGTCCGCGCGCCTACCATTTGGTATGCTTGGAGCCGGAACTGGACGAGCCGCCGGAGGGCAAATGGTCGTGCCCGCACTGCGAGGCTGATGGCGGCGCTGCCGAGGAGGAGGACGATGACGAGCATCAGGAGTTTTGCCGCGTGTGCAAAGATGGCGGCGAGCTGCTCTGCTGCGATTCCTGCCCATCGGCATACCATACATTCTGTCTGAATCCGCCGCTGGACACCATACCAGACGGCGACTGGCGTTGTCCGCGCTGCAGCTGCCCGCCACTGATCGGCAAGGCCGAGAAGATCATCACCTGGCGTTGGGCGGTGCAGCGTCGTGGCAGCAGCGAGGCGTCCACCTCGAAGAGCGCCAAGGTGGGCAATCGTGTGCGCGAGTACTTCATCAAGTGGCACAACATGTCCTACTGGCACTGCGATTGGGTGTCCGAGGTGCAGCTGGACGTGCATCATCCGCTGATGATACGCTCCTTCCAGCGCAAATACGACATGGAGGAGCCGCCCAAATTCGAGGAGTCACTCGACGAGGCTGACACACGCTTCAAGCGCATCCAGCGCCACAAGGACAAGGTCGGCATGAAGGGCAACGATGACGATGACGAGGCCGCACTCGAGGAGCGCTTCTACAAGAATGGCGTCAAGCCCGAATGGCTGATTGTCCAGCGCGTCATCAATCATCGCACGGCACGCGATGGCAGCACCATGTATCTGGTGAAGTGGCGTGAGCTGCCCTACGATAAGTCCACCTGGGAGGAGGAAGGCGACGATATACCCGGTCTGCGTCAGGCCATCGATTACTATCAGGATTTGCGTGCGGTCTGCACCTCGGAACAGTCGCGCGGCAGCAGCAGCAAGAAGAGCAAAAAGGGACGCAAAACCAAAAAACTGGAGCTAGACGACGAAGATCGTCCCGTCAAGCACTACACTCCGCCGCCGGAGAAGCCGACCACGGACCTGAAAAAGAAATACGAGGGTCAGCCAGCCTTTCTGGATGATACGGGCATGCAGCTGCATCCGTATCAGATTGAGGGCATCAACTGGTTGCGCTACAGCTGGGGCCAGAGCATCGATACCATTTTGGCCGACGAGATGGGTCTGGGCAAGACCATACAAACGGTAACCTTTCTCTACTCATTGTACAAGGAGGGACATTGCCGTGGACCCTTCCTGGTGGCCGTGCCGCTATCCACGCTGGTCAACTGGGAGCGTGAATTTGAGTTGTGGGCGCCCGATTTCTATTGCATCACCTACATTGGGGACAAGGACTCGCGTGCCGTGATACGCGAGAACGAGCTGACCTTCGACGAGGGCGCCATACGTGGCACCAAGGTGTCGCGCCTGCGCACAACCCAATACAAATTCAATGTGCTGCTCACCAGCTACGAGCTGATCTCGATGGATGCGCCCTGCCTGGGCAGCATTGACTGGGCGGTGCTGGTCGTGGACGAGGCGCATCGCCTGAAGAGCAACCAGAGCAAGTTCTTCCGCATCCTCAATAGCTATGCGATTGCCTACAAGCTGCTGCTGACTGGCACACCATTGCAGAACAATCTGGAGGAGTTGTTCCATTTGCTGAACTTCTTGAGTCGCGACAAGTTCAACGATCTGCAGGCATTCCAGGGCGAGTTTGCGGACGTGTCCAAGGAGGAGCAGGTGAAGCGTTTGCACGAGATGCTCGGACCGCACATGCTGCGTCGCCTCAAGACCGATGTGCTCAAGAATATGCCCTCCAAGTCGGAGTTCATTGTGCGCGTCGAGCTGTCGGCCATGCAAAAGAAGTTCTACAAATTTATCTTGACCAAAAACTATGAGGCGCTCAATTCGAAGAGCGGCGGCGGCTCCTGTTCCCTGATCAACATCATGATGGATCTGAAGAAGTGCTGCAATCATCCGTATCTATTCCCATCGGCTGCCGAGGAGGCGCCCACCTCTGCGGGCGGCATCTATGAGATCAACTCGCTAACCAAGGCGGCCGGCAAACTGGTGCTGCTCTCCAAGATGCTGAAGCAGCTCAAGTCGCAGAATCATCGTGTGCTCATCTTCTCGCAAATGACCAAAATGTTGGACATACTGGAGGACTTCCTCGAGGGCGAGCAGTATAAGTACGAGCGCATCGATGGCAGCATTACGGGCACAGTGCGACAGGAGGCCATCGATAGATTCAATGCGCCCGGTGCACAACAGTTCGTCTTTCTGCTGAGCACACGTGCCGGCGGCTTGGGCATTAATCTGGCCACAGCCGATACGGTCATCATCTATGACTCCGATTGGAATCCCCACAATGATATACAGGCCTTCTCGCGTGCCCATCGTATTGGCCAGGCCAACAAGGTGATGATCTATCGCTTTGTCACACGCAATTCTGTGGAGGAGCGCGTCACGCAGGTGGCCAAGCGCAAGATGATGTTGACGCATCTGGTTGTGCGTCCCGGCATGGGCGGCAAGGGTGCCAACTTTACCAAACAGGAGCTGGACGATATTCTGCGTTTTGGCACCGAGGATCTGTTCAAGGAGGATGACAAAGAGGAGGCCATACACTACGATGACAAGGCCGTTGCCGAGCTGCTCGATCGTACCAATCGCGGCATTGAGGAGAAGGAATCGTGGGCCAATGAGTATTTGTCCTCCTTCAAGGTGGCCTCCTATGCCACCAAAGAGGAGGAGGAAGAGGAGGAAACGGAAATCATTAAACAAGATGCCGAAAACTCAGATCCCGCCTACTGGGTGAAACTGCTGCGCCACCACTACGAACAGCACCAGGAGGATGTCGGTCGCACCCTGGGCAAGGGCAAGCGTGTGCGCAAGCAGGTCAACTACACGGACGGCGGCGTCGTTGCGGCGGACACAACACGCGACGATTCCAACTGGCAGGACAATGGCAGCGAATACAATTCCGAGTATTCCGGCGGCAGCGACGAGGATGGCGGCGACGATGACTTCGATGAGCAGAACGGCGAACGCAAGGCCAAGCGACGCTTGGAGCGACGCGACGATCGTCCGCTGCCGCCGCTGCTGGCACGCGTCGGCGGCAACATCGAGGTGCTGGGCTTCAATGCCAGGCAGCGTAAGAGCTTCCTCAATGCCATCATGCGGTACGGCATGCCGCCGCAGGATGCCTTCAATTCGCAGTGGCTGGTGCGCGATTTGCGCGGCAAATCTGAGCGCAATTTCAAGGCCTATGTCTCGCTCTTCATGCGGCATCTGTGCGAGCCGGGCGCCGACAATGCCGAGACCTTTGCCGATGGCGTGCCACGCGAGGGTCTCTCCCGGCAACATGTGCTCACGCGCATTGGCGTCATGTCGCTGATACGCAAGAAGGTGCAGGAATTCGAGCACATCAATGGCTACTACAGCATGCCCGAGCTGATACTCAAGCCCTGCGAGCCAGTGCGTTCCGGTGGCAAGCAAGAGGCAGCTGCTGCCGCCACCTTGGACGCCGCCACACCGGCTACAGGCGGCAAGCCGCCGGCGGAGAGCACCACGACCAGCAACAGTGCAACGCCGGCCACGAGTGCAGCACCCAGTCCAGCGCCAGCCTCAGAGAAGAGCGAAGATAAGGCTACGCTGGATAAGGCAACGCCCGAGAAACAGGAACCCAAATCGGAACCAGATGCTGCTGCTGCTGCTGCTGACGAGGACAAAAAGCAGCTCGATGCGGCCGTCCAGCAGGAAAGCGCCGAGGAGTCGGCTGAGAGCGAGTCCAAGACGACCAGCGTTGGTGGTGAGCTGGTGAGTGTCAAGAGCGAGCCGGCCAAACTGGAGCCCAAACTGGAGGAGGGCAAAGAACAGCCAGAGCAACTGGCCAAGGAGGAGCCCAAGAGCGAGCAGAGCGACGACAAGGATAAGGACAAAGAGAAGCCAAGCAGCGAGGAGAAGCCGCCGCCAAACAATCCCAGCAACAGCAGCACAAACATCATTGACGATGACGACGACGATGTCATGATTGTCAAGGAGGATGGCGAACTGGAGAAGCCCAGCGCCAGTGCCAATGCCAATTCGCCCAAGGATCAGAAGGCTGTTGCCGGAACGGCCACGGGAACAGGAACAGGTGCTGGCAAACTGGTTGAGGACAGTCTTGAGGTATTGAAACGCAAATTCATGTTCAACATTGCCGACGGCGGCTTCACCGAGCTGCACACGTTGTGGCTGAACGAGGAGAAGGCTGCGGTGCCCGGCCGCGAATACGAGATCTGGCATCGTCGCCACGACTACTGGCTACTGGCGGGCATTGTCACCCATGGCTACGGCCGTTGGCAGGATATACAGAACGATATACGCTTCGCCATCATCAATGAGCCATTCAAAATGGACGTGGGCAAGGGCAATTTCCTGGAGATAAAGAACAAGTTTTTGGCACGGCGCTTTAAGCTGCTCGAGCAGGCTCTGGTCATCGAGGAGCAGCTGCGACGTGCAGCCTTCCTGAATCTCGCCCAGGATCCCAGCCATCCGGCCATGTCGCTGAACGCACGCTTCGCCGAGGTCGAATGCCTGGCCGAATCGCATCAGCATCTCAGCAAGGAATCGCTGGCCGGCAACAAGCCGGCCAATGCGGTGCTGCACAAGGTGCTCAATCAGCTGGAGGAGCTGCTCTCCGACATGAAGAGCGATGTCTCACGTCTGCCGGCCACCTTGGCGCGCATACCGCCTGTGGCGCAGCGCCTGCAAATGTCCGAGCGTTCCATTCTGTCGCGTCTGGCGGCCACCGCTGGCAATGCCTCGAATGCGGGTACGTTTTGGCAATTATATAAATCTTGAGGATTACTTTTAATCCTGTTCATTTGGTTTTGCAGCTCAATTGATGGCACAGTTTCCGGCCGGCTTTCAGGGCACCACCCTGCCGGCCTTCACGGGCGGACCCGCTGGCAACTTTGCCAACTTTCGGCCACAGTTCTCGGTGCCCGGGCAGCTGCCCAACAATGCCGGCACCTGAGCATCCCATTCAAATTCCATGCAAATTAATTAAAATCTTCAGCTAAGAATTTAACGCTACGTATAAAAAAAAAAAAAAAAAAAAAACAAAACAAAAAACATGCATACCCAAAACAAAACATTTCAAAATATTTATCATAAACAATTGCAATGAAATTCAATTAATTAACTTAACCGTTCGTTCACAAATTCAATATTTGCCGCATTCTAGAATCTAGAAAAACGTTTTGGCTGTTTCTGGCCGAGATTATTAATGACAAATTATTATAAAATGCTTATTTTATTTACTATGTGATTTCATTTTATATAGATACAAATACACACAAAATATATAGAAATCCAATTCCATTGCAAAAGATAAGGCATTTTTTCCCCCGACTACATTTTATTTATTCGAATCTCGATTTAGATTTAAAATCAACGCTCAAAAAACAGCAATAAAAATGTTCGTAAAATTTAATTTTAAAAACGCCCAAAAGTATGCAACAGGTAGATGAGCTGCATCTGAATGATGGAAAAAGTGGCTTTGCCGTTGTGTGAGCTCCTCTGAAGCTTAAGAAACTTGTTGGATCTCAGCCAGAAGGATAACATATTAGTAAATATCCTGTATCCTTACCTTAAAAACCTACAGGACGCTTTTGTTGCTAGAGAGGATCTGCAAGGATGCGGTCGACTCATATCTTCGCAAAGCTCGGCCATATCCTTGCGTATTTGCAAGGCACATGATGCGTTAGCCTCGCAACCATCAACTCCATCGATATGCATCAAAACATTATGGGGTCATCTAAAAATCCAGGACTTGGCAAATTTTTAGTCGCGGGCCGAGCGTAAAATGTGCTGAAAACACATTATCCGTAATATCTCGGAAACTAAAAGGACGATCTCGATGCCCTTTGGCCAGTTGGTCGCCATGGTCAATACAACTTTTTTGGCACAGGACTCGCCAGGATACGCAAGGATACGGCTGAGTTATAGCCTATTTTCTCTTGACAAAATTGTCCTACAAACTTCGCTGTTTGAAGGACCTTCGTCCTTTGTGCTATATATTCTTGATTGGGAGGGTGAGAACTACTTGCTGGGCAAAGGACATCCCGATAGTCCTTCAAATGGCCAAGTTAGCGCGAATTTGTTCGATTTTGACCAATTTGGCGACTAACCCCCTGGGAAAAATTGTGGTGCAATTTTTTGTCGGATCTTTGAAATCCTTGAATGCAAAGCGATAGTCCTGCTCTCCACGAGCCCAAAAAGGTATATCCTTCCGATATCCCTAAGGATTTGGCTGAGTTATGGCTATAAAAAGAATATCCTTTTTAGAAAATTTTCAATATCTCGGAAACCAGCAGGACGACTTTGTTGCCCTTTGACCAGTTAATTGTCCTTGTCCATACGATTTGTTTGACATGCGACTTGTCAGGATCTGCAAGGACATGGCCGTGTTATGGCTACCTTAATGTGCGAAAGAATTGTCCTTATATCTAGGATGTCTGAAGGACTTCCGTCATTTTCATTGTATATTCCGAATCGGCAGGATGAGAATTAATGGTTGACCAAAGGACATCTCGATTCGCAAGGATTAAGGCCGATTTACGGCCTTCTTTCTTTTTAGACAAGGGGCTCATTTCTTCAGCTCCTTGAAGGACTTTCGTCCTTTTTTTGATTTTCTCAGTTGGCAGGACAAGGATTGAATGCTGCCCAAAGGACATCAGTATTCGGCTTGAAGATTCTTAACGGATTAAAAAGTAAGTAATTGCAAATTTCATTCAAGCGACAGACTTATTTAATTTGATACTCGTAACTTTGTTTCCTTGTATTATCATTGTATGTTTGTATATTAATTATAAATTAGTTAAGTTTGTATGTGTTGTATATACTCGTGTGTATACATATGTATATAAGTAATTTGTAAATATCATTAGACAATTTGAAGTCATTTGATAAGCGCAATATTAATTTCAGAAACGATTCGGTGCAGACATCATTTACCAAATATGAGTAGGGCGCAATATAAGTGCATATTCTGGGTATATAATTCGCAGCATTTCGCCGAAAAATATTGCTAATTAATATCAAGGTTCCGACAACATTTGACCAGCAATTACCTATCCCATGGGCATTTCGATCATTCAATTGCAATATCGATCTCCATTTCGTTATATACAATAGTTACAAATAAATGGAATTGCATAATCAATAATATATGAATATGCATATACATATTACGAGTAATTATAGTTAATTACAAGCGGGCTCTAGCGGCCTAATACATAATACAAAGTACAACAAACGAAGATGCGCTAATAATCAAAAAAAAAAATTAAATTAAAAAAATAATAATTCAAATTTAACAAACAAAGTGCACATCAACACCAAATCCGATGCTATTAAATAATCTAATAATAAATGTGACAAAAACAAATTAATTGCGAACTAAGCTTGAAATTACACATATATCGAAATAAAATATGAATAATGTATAGCATTATATGGTACATATGGTATATGGAATATGGTACATTAAAAAAAATCACATTTGCAACGCGAATGTGCGAGTGCTCACAACAAACAAAAAACTCAAGCAAGTTTGCGTCTAAAACTAGATATTGTGGGCAACTTAAACTAAAACAGCAAATCAGCTTAGAATAGTAAATAACAAAAACAAGCACACTCAAGCGATCGCACTCACACACACACACATACACACACAAATAAACATTGGCATACACTCACAAATATATGCCTGCATATGTAAATATATAGATATATGAATATAAAATTAAACACATTCAAGCGATTGAAGAGCCCATCATAGCCTTTAGTCGTACCCCCGTAGAGTTGCTGCAGTTTGCAACAATCAAAATACAATATTATGATATTGTGCATAATTTCTTAAGCTCGCTCTCCGACTCGTCCACATCCAGCTGGAGGTTGGCGGCATTTGGCAGCGCACGTCCCTCGATGTTAGGCAGGTAGGGTTCATAGTCGAGACCCTGGCGCTCATAGAAAAGCAAATAGGCAGCGCTCGGATCAATGTTTGGCTTTTGCGATATCTCGCGACAGGAGCTGTCATTGTAACAATACCAGGAACCAGTCGTATTTGATGCATAGGAAATGTAATGACCACCATTCAGCATGCCAGAGTGCGACTGCAAAGGGATACCATCATGAATCAACATCATAATTTAATGATTCTATCGACCTACCACCACGGCATACAGTTTGTATTTGGGATCGAACTCGTCAACACCCGCTTGGAGCTTGTGCTGATGATAGTCCTCAAATTCCCCATCCACAATAGGCGTCTTTGTAAGGCTCGTGGATATGAGGCGCTGTCGCCTGGCTGCATTGCTCGATTTGCTTTGACGCAGCACGCTTCCAGCGGTCGGCGGCGTTTCCTTTGCAGTAGCCACTTTTTCGCCTACTGCCGATTCTGTTGGAGGTGGAGCATCTGCAGAAGGGACCGCATCTGCTTTGTCGCTGGCATCTACTTCATCCAGTTCGCTAGGAACTTCATTGCTGTTACCAATCAAATCCCGCTTCAGCTCTAATAGCTCCTTGTGCCGCAGTATCGTCTCTTGTGGCACTGATGCCAAATAAGGCGTTGGATCAAAGTCATCGAAGGGAAAGTGCACCACCTTCTGCGATTTAACCCATTTGCCGTTGACGCAATTGAAACGCTTCAAATGGACGATCTACAAAACAGCAGCCAAATGTATAACTCAGTTTTTACTTTAAATAATGAAGCATTTACCAGAATTGGGGGCAATTTCCATATTTGCAGCTTCTTCGTCGCTGGCTTCTTGCCCTTGCAGTGGCTACAGTGATACCACTGCTCCAACTTTTCCTCGGAGGTAAAGGCGCGCAGGCAATGATTCAGATCAACGGGCTCCACTTGCTCCCGTCGGCATATGGCAATGGTCTCATGATCCACCCAGAGCTGGCGCAGGAATAACAGCAATTAAAAACATATATCCTCAGTTTCCAGTGGGGCTGTCTACTTACACGCTCCAAGGTGCTTTGATAACGTAAATGCAATGCGGTTGGGTCCCAATCGATGGCAATGGTAAAGTCTTCAAAATATTTTGTTGTTGGAGTATAGGATAGCGATGTGGTGTACTCCGGTGCTCTTTTGGCCTCCAGATTCGGTAGCGATGGGCATTTTTCGTTCATTTTTGGCGTGGCTATGTTATCTAGAAGAAGCCAAAATCAGTTGAACTGAACGTTACCAATTATAAATTCAGGATTACTTACTGGCCACACAGCTGATGGGTGGCAGAGCGCCCTGGAGCACATAATCATTGTTGCAGCGAATTTCGCAGCCGCGACAAAAGCTCGACCACGGACAAATGGCGCAGGTAAGGCCGTCCGCTTTGACTGCACGCAGCGTGAAGGGAAAATCATAGCCCAGGCTGTCGTCACTAAAAGTCAGATTCGATACGAAGATTAACAGAGGTATTTATAGAATAATCGGTATAATTACCAGTCGGCAGCATGGTTAGCCTGTTCGGTGGTGGCTGGCAGAGGACTCAGCAGCCGATTAACTTGCAGCCAGACGGCGCAATACAGATCCTTGTGGGTGCCACCATCACAGTTGGGTATCAGCAGTGGCACACCAAACAGGCTGGGCCGTGTTTTGTGATAGGAAAGGAAGTAGCTGTCGTGGCGCGTGATTTTACGATGTACAGCCACCAGATATTTGCCCACCTTGTAGGGCTGCGAGGAGCGGCGCGAATAGACACCGCTGCTAGTTTGATTGCCGCTCGTGCTCTCCGGCTGTGAGGTGGTTATTTGTTGATCCGGCTCCTCGCCTTCGTCCTGTCCAACGTCGTCGTCGTCGTCGTCGTCTTCGTTCGCATCAGTTTCCACGTCACGATCAAAGCTATTGACGGCCAATGTGTGAGCTGCGCTCCTGACGCTGGAGTGCTCATTGGTGTTGCGATAGGAGGCGCCATCGTCACTGTTGCTGCCATGTCGACTGACCGCCAGCTCCGCGACCGGCATTGGCTCCGTTAGCGAACTCTCCATTGAGTTCTCGCCAGAGTGATTCGTATACGATGCCGAGCTAGTGTTGCTCTCCGTGTGCAGCAGCT